TCCTCCGTTCCTCTCACCCTCCCTCCCTCCCTCCCTCCCTCCCTCTCCTCTCTCTCTCTCTCTCTCTCTCTCTCTCTCTCTCTCTCTCTCTCTCTCTCTCTCTCTCTCTCTCTCTCTCTCTCTCTCTCTCACTTCCTCTCCAGCTAACTTAGTAATCAATGGGAAAGAGATTTGCAGCGACACCGATACGTCTCTGATCGGACTTGCTCTGTGACGCGAAACGTTATCAGATCCAAACTCACGAGTGTGGCGTGACGTCGACGGGTACGGAGGGAGAGAGGAGGGAGGGAGGGAGGAGGAGGGAAGAGGGGAGGGGGGGGAAGAAGAGAAAAGGGATTGAGGGAAGATTGGAAGAAGGGGAGAGGGAGAGGAGAGAGAGAGGAGGGAGGGAGGAGAGGAGAGAGAGGAGAGGAGGGAGAGAGAGAGAGGAGAGAGAGAGAGAGAGAGGAGAGAGAGAGAGAGAGGGAAAGAAAGAGAAGGGAGAGAAGAGAGAGGAGAGAAAGAGAGAGAGAGAGAGAGAAGAAATAATCCATTATCCCAACACAGAAAAGACCCGAATGCAGCGCCCTATCGAAATGTTGCTACGTACGTCGATTAACAGGTACCGGGACAGGTCGCCAACGAAGGACGGGCTGAAAAGGAGTTTAAGAGGAAGAGGAGGACGGGAATGAGGGTTACAAGTTAAATGGACTGAGGAACCATTATCTCCCCCATCACCCTCCTTTACCCTCTTTATTTTCTTTCTCCCCCTCCTCCCCATTCTCTTCCCTTTCCACCTGCGAACGTCACTTGTTTACCGTTCATCATCCGTTCTCTGAAAGCGCTTGCTAGGTTGTAGCGGTTCTCTCCTCCCTCCGCTAGAAGTTAGCGGTTTGTGGCGATTGTTTTATGCATCATGATGAGGGTCCTGATGTTTTGTGAAGAGGAGGAAGGCAAAAAAAGAGACAATTCAGATCGAAAATAGAATGAGGTGCGTTTGATAAAAAGGCGACTGATTTGCTGCCCTTACTGACGTCACCGACCCTGTTTACACTTTACGGCAGAATTTGTAATTAAGAGGAAAGTGCCGGGAAACAGTATCTGGTTTCCTCTCTCTCTCTTCTCTCTCTCTCTCTTCTCTCTCTCTCTCTCTCTCTTCTCTCTCTCTCTCTTCTCTCTCTTCTCTTCTCTTCTCTTCTCTTCTCTTCTCTTCTCTTCTCTTCTCTTCTCTTCTCTCTCTTTCTCTTCTCTTCTCTCTCTCTCTCTTCTCTTCTCTCTCTCTCTCTCTCTCTCTCTCTCTCTCTCTCTCTCTCTCTCTCTCTCTCTCTCTCCCCCCCCTGCATCTTTATCTCCGAACTTCATTGATTTCTTCCACTATCCTTCTTATCTCATTTCTTTGATCTGTTCTGTCGCCTTGGGATGTCGGAGTTTGCCTTCGCCCGGTGCATAATGAGGTGTGCCTGATACCCCGTGCCTGATGATGCCTGGCGAACCCGGTCTCCGTGCATTCGCAAAGAGAGGGACGGGAGGGACGGGAGAGGGAGGAGGAGTGAAAGGAGAGGTGAGGGAGGGAGGAAGGAGGGGAGGGAGGAGAAAGAGAGGGGACGGGAAAAGGAGGGAGGGGAGGACGGGAAGGAAAGGAGGCAGGGAAGAAGGACGGAAGGAAAGAAAGAAGGGAGGGACGATGAAAGAATAATAAAAGGGAGGAAGAATATAAAAAATGGATGAAAGGGAGGGAGGGAGATGGAAGGCGGGAAAGAAGGAAGAATGGAGAAAGGGAGAGAGGAAATATCATAAGAAAAGAGAAGAAAATGAGATTACGCCGATAAACCAAGAATTCAAGGGCCAAGCACATGACAGAACCGAACCGCAAAAGAGGCGAAGGAGAGGAGGCGAGAGAAACCAGAGAAACGGAGGCTCCACCACGCCTCCCTCCCTCGCCCTTCCCGAAACCAGGCCGTATATAGTCCCGAATTCCCCTCATTCTTCCCCTCATAAACATCTTGAGCGGATTATATTTATATAAAAAGGTCTTCCTTGCACTTGCCTGTAAACAACCCGCCGCGAACATTATTACGAAGGGTTGACGCACCTGTGACGTCATCTTCCGGGCGCAGGTATCACCAAATCAGAGGGAAAAAGGGGCAGGTATTCGCATTTCTAAATTGGTAAACAAATGATGCTCTTGGAGACGCACCTCCCGGGGGGTGTTTCGATGCCAAGGTGCCAGGCTGGTGTGGCACTTTGGTAGCCCCGCCAGCAGGCACCTCACCCCGCTGCATATTTACGATCTTGTTAGCATTGTTGGGCGGTAATGAGGCTGGGGGCTGGAGGGGGACGCGAGGGCGAGGGCGTGGTGGGAGTGACCAGCGTACGCATTTCGATTTTCTTTCGATTTATTTTTGTTCGGTCTCCATTCAGGGAACGAGTCACGTGTAAGGTCGTGACCTTGTGCAGTTATTTCTGTCCCCCGATCATTAGGCGAGACGAGAATGGGTTCCATACACTGGTGTGGGGCATCATGGGTAAACATCCTGTCGGGCTCGAGAAAGGTTTCCTAACATATGTTGTCGCGGAGCTTGGGTGGCGACGCTCTTCACTCAGCGGAGAATATCAGCTCTCGCTCTTAATAAACTGTTTTTCTTGAATTAAAGGCCAGAGGAATAACTGCAGACTCCGTGATTACGTCCTGATAGGCGGTAGTTCTTCAGAAACAGATTAGTATTTCGCCCATCCCTCCTCGCCGGTGGTGGCGTTCGATCCCCTTTCCCTGGCTTCGTCGCGTTCTCCTCTGCACTCATGGCCCACCCCGGGTCTAGGAGCCAGAAAATAATACGGAAGTTTAAATGGTTCTTTAATGATTATAAAAATCACGGACAGACTACGGGGTAAATGAGAATATTGACCAGAAAGCTCAACAGCAAGTGGGTATTGTAGCGCAGGCCAGAAACCTAGTAAGATTAATATTTACCTGGCGCGCCACGTGGGGCGGCGAGGCAGGTGGTATGACGACCTAATTTTGTCCATGACTGTTGTCAACACGACCGCCACTTGCAAGCGATGGGTCGTGCGAGGGAGTTGAAGTATTATATGAGCATAATCAATTATTTTCATGATCTAGAAAGTCTCTCAAGGTTTAGTTGTGCTTTTTACCTTCTGGAGGTTGAGATCATTATTTTAGAAGTGCGTGTCCCATGTTGCTTTAACTCAGGTACCATTAGGCATATAGTGTCTGTGCTGCCGTCACACACAGGGTAGTTTAATTAAATATAATTCTCTTCCTTTCAGGCCAAACTTGAGACGAAGGCTCTGAAGGCAAAACGGCCTGGGTTTTCCGAGGAGCGTTACAACGAAACTTCATACTACATAGAAAATGGTGAGTTTACCGTCGTAGAAAATGGAGATCAAAGACGGGGTGACTATTATTCAGCGTTGCACGCAGCTATAAAGTGCATGCACAGTTATACGCAGTCACACTTCAAGCACACATGCTTATTCCTATGCATATATATATATATATATATATATATATATATATATATATATATATATATATATACCATACATACATATATATATAAGACACACATCCATACGGAAAAAGAGCAGTCTGCCCTTCCCACAACTAGTAACCGTGTCCCCACCCTAACAGGTCTGCGGAAAGTCTATCCCTATTACTTCACGTTCACCACCTTCACCAAAGGACGCTGGGTGGGAGAAAAGATCCTTGACGTGTTCGCCAAAGAGTTCCGAGCACATCCTGCCGAGGAGTATGTAAGTAGGACTTGCGCTTCTGTGTATGATATCCCGGGATTTGGCGAAGTGTAAATAAAGTTAATTCACAGTATCTTTGTAAAGAGCTATATTATTGATTCATTGATATATATATATTATACGTTTTTTTTACACTAATCCACGGTAAATTTTTGTGTTTTGGATAAAGACTTGAATTGCTTTGGGGAAAAAAATATATAAAAGTATGAAACGTCATTTATTTCATTGTTTTCTCTCCCCTCTTATCCTCCTCCTCTTTCTTTCCTTTTTTTCTTCTACTCTGACATCGAATTCCTTTCCCACTGACGTCCCCTCTCTCCCTTTTTCTCCTCTTCTATGCCTTCCCCCGCTTTCGCTTTTGGCACTATCCCCTCTTGTTTTTTCCCCTTTTTCGTACCCTGCTTTTAACACTTCTTCGGCCTTGTGTATTTCGCTTTATCTCTCTTCTTGTTCCGTTTCCTTCCTTCCATTTGGTACATTTTCCTTGCTTCCTTTTCGTTGTCTTGCGTTATGTATCCTTTCTCCCTTTCTTCCGCTTTTCTTATCTTGTTTTATATCTGCATCCCTTTCTCTATTGTTGTTTCTCGGTTTTCTTCTTTTTGCGTCTTATTTCTTTCTTCTCTCCGATCTTGCTTCTTTTATACATCTCTCTCTCTCTCTCTCTCTCTCTCTCTCTCTCTCTCTCTCTCTCTCTCTCTCTCTCTCTCTCTCTCTCTCTCTCTCTCTCTCTCTCTCTCTCTCTCTCTTCTCTCTCTCCTTTATGCCCGTCCTTCTTCTTGCTCCTTCACGCTTCTCCATTTTCCCTCTCCATCTTCCCTCTTGCTCCCCGACTCCCTTCCATTCCCTTTCCCTCTTCCTCTTTAATTTTCCTTCTCTGCCTTCCTCTTTTCCCTTTGTTCCCCCTTTCCATCTCGTTCTCCCCCCTTCGCTCTTCTTGTTTCCTATCTCCCCTCTTTCTCCTTCACTTTCCTCCATCTTCCCTCCCCTAATCCCCCATCTCCAACCCCTTTTCTCATTTCCTTTTCCTCACCCCCCCATTCCCATCTCCCTCCTCCATCTCCTCTCCTTCTCCCACCCTCCTCATCTCTCCTTCACCCACCCTCCTCCATCTCCTCTCCTTCACTCTCCTCCATCTCCTCTCCTTCCACCTCCTCCATCCCCTCTCCTTCTCCAACCCTCCTCCACCTCCCCTCCTCCACCTCCCTTCCTTCACCCTCCTCAGGAGCGATGCATTAAGAGTGGCACCCTGACGGTCAACTACGAGAAAGTCGACGTGGATTATCGACTCAAACACAATGACTTACTTGCAAACATCGTGCACAGGTATGTAAATGAGTTCCTTTTGAAAGATTAGAAAGAAAAAGAGAGAGAAAAGGGGTGAGTTCATTTTGTAATAGTTGAAGGATTGTGATTATTTTTCTTAAAAGTAAATGTTGAAAATGACAAGGAATAGATAGATGTAAAATGATTGAGGGATTGATAGATATTTTGGAATTACTATGCTAAGATGTATAGAGAAATGTAAAGAAAAAAGAAAAGAAAAAAAAAAGACCACTACTGTAGGGATGACTTCATATTAGAAAAAAAGAGATTATGAGAAATTTATATAAAATAGATTAATTGTGAGTTGGTAAACAAATTAGAAGTTCGATTATTTTGAAGATATGAAAACAATTGATTAAATAGTTTGGGTTTTATCTAGTTTAAAAAGCATAATGTAGAATTTTAAGTCATAATTTCTCTTACTTTTATGAAGAAAAAAAACTTTTTATATCACTTGCATGCTATTTATAGAACTTAGATTTTTATAACTTTAAGAATAATTTATTGATATATCATTCTAATGCTGAAGTTTAAGAATATATTCAATTGAAACATATCAAATCACTTTTGATTTCACATTGTAGATTTTTAGATATTTATTATTATGTAACTGTTGAAATGTTTCACAAATATTATTTTCTGCCTATTCAAGTATTGTAGATTTGTTCATTATTTTTCCCTAATGCCTTAATTATTATTAAGAAGTGAGCAAGAGAGGGAGAGAAAGAACTGAGAGAGAGAGAGAGAATGAAAGAGAAGAGAGACAGAGAGAGAAGTAGAGGGGAGGACGGATTGAAAGGAAAGTAAGGAGAGAAGGAGGTAGGAGGTAGGAAGAAGGGGGTGGAAGAGAAGGAGGTGGAGAATGAAGAGAGGAAAGGGACAGGAGGAAGGAGAGATGGAAAGAGGAGCGAAAGAAGGAGGGAGGAGAAGAAAGAGGAAATAGAATTTGGGGAAAGAAGGAAGGATAGGAAAGGTGGATGAGGGAAGAGAGAGGATGGATGCGGAGAGAGGAGAAATCAAGAGTATGATTAGAAAGAAAGGATGAAAAGATGGGAGCATGAGAGAACGAAGAATGAAAGGCCGAGAAGAAAGGGAGGGAAAGAATGGAGAGGCAAGTAAGAAGGGCGGGAAGTAGGGGGAAGGAGAGGAGATAGGGGCCAAGAGGAAGGAGGGTATAGGGATAGGAAAGAAGGACATAAAGGAAAGGAAGAGGTGAGAAGGAGAAGAAGGAGGTGAAGACGAAGGGGGGAAAATGAAAGAAGAGAAAGAGGTCACCAGGAGGGAGGGAAGGAGAGGGGAGGGCAGGAGGGCAAAGGATTAGTGAGTGAGAGAAATAGAGAGAGAGAGTGAGAGAAGAGAAAGAAAGGAAAGGTTAAAGGAGGCTAGAGGAGGAAAGGGGGGAGGTAAGAGAAGGAAAGTAGGAAGGGAAAGAGAGAGAGAGAGAGAGAGGAGAGAGAGAGAGAGAGAGAGAGAGAGAGAGAGAGAGAGAGAGAGAGAGAGAGAGAGAGAGAGAGAGAGAGAGAGATCCAGCGTGGAATAACACATACACCAGGTATAAACCCATCCTCACATCGCTCAATAAAAGAGCGAGGTGCAACACACACCTACACATGATACACACACGCACATCACCGCCCCCCGCCCACCCCAAGCCACGTGGGCGTGTGTGGGCGTGCTGTAGGTGTGAGCGTCGTTGGTTTCAGGCACGAGGTTCCGGTGACGAGCGAGCAGATCCCCATCGTACATGTGGACGAGGATCTTGTGGTTGTGGACAAGCCAGCTTCCATCCCTGTAAGTGGCGCCCGAAGGAAAAACGCCTCCTCCCCCAAAAACATAAGAATAAAAGACCATCACAATATTAGATGTAGTTCTCATTCACGCCCGCAACTCACCTCACAGACCTCCTCCCCCTTCCCGCCCACCACCGACACTTCTCACTTGATGTTTTATGTTTTTTTGTCATTATTTTGGTTATTTTTGTTCAGTGTTTTTTTACGCCACATATTTCGGAGAGTGAGAGATATTTGATTTTTTTTTCATTCATGATGTACACCATACAAAATTTGGTTCGTTTTTGGCCTATTCTCCTTTTTTTCATTTCTTTTTTCCCTCTCACTGCTCTCCCGCGTTCGCCCAAGGATACGCAATGGTATCGAATCCGCATCAGAAGTGTTCGGATCGGGACAGTCCCTCCATAAAGGAATAAAGAAATAAATAAATACCAGCAGAGGTCGGGTATTTATTTATTCCTTTATCTTTATCGGAGGGATTTCCAAAGTGAGATGAGATGCGGGCGAGTGTGGATGGGAGCCCCAGCATCGCTCGTTCTGTACCCGGAAAACCCAAGTGCTGTTCCTGACTTCACTGTCAAAAAAAAAAAAAAAAAAATCTCACTTCGTTGTAGTCACTGTCAAACCCCGCAGTCTCTGGTTGAGCTCCCCCCCCCCCAACCCCCTATCTGCTCTGTCGGCCTATCCCCCCCCCCCCCACCAATATCTTCACCCCCTGCACTCGAGTTGTTGTTTCGATTTTTCTTTTTTTTTAAGATTCCCCACTTTTCACACCCTCCCCCCACTTAGTTTTTTCTCTAATTTAGTTGAGAGGAAAAGGTCAATGCATGACCCCTCCCCCTCCCTATCCATCCCCCCCATAGAGGCAATATGGCTTGACCCCTGAATGATCATTTGCTGTCTTTTATGATATACAAACATATCAGGTGTATGTATTCCAGGGGATCACACATCAAGCTCTTAGAAATAGAAATGGAAATGCGCTTAAAAATGTTGAATCAAATAATTTGAAGTGTTGAGTACTCTCACGTTTTACTTTTAGCTGAGTCATCATGAGTCTGCATTTTTGTTACTGAAGGTCGTTTTCACTCGAGATCCAATGTAGAGGGTGAAGTTCTTTTTTGTTGTGTATGAGACATAAACACAAGCTGTTCATTGATTTTTCCTTTTTCAAAAATAAAAACAAGATCTGGTAATAAAAAAGAGAGAAGGAATTATGCAAGAGAGGACACAGAGACTTGGGGCTTCCGAAAGTGAACCAGAGTAGACACGCAAATGAAAAGAACCGAGGCGATGGTGGGCCTGGTCATCCCTGTGTCGCTAATCTTGCTGTTTTCAGAGTGTTGGTGCCTCCCGCCGCAGCTTTTCCTGGATATGTTTAGCAGAAACCTCCAGCATTTTCCATTAGAACGCGTTTTGCATTGTCTAATAATAGATCAGTGCCTTTTATTTTCCCTCTAATCTTTGGTTAATATAGATGCTAAACGCAGTTCGTGTTATGGTTGCCATTGCAGACATGAGACGCCGGTGTTAGCGCGAAACATTGAGATATTACATTTAGATGAGGATTTGGTCGTTCTCGACAAGCCATGTTCCTTGCCGGTGAGTAATAGCGGCGAGCTTTAACCCGGCTAGCTAGCTGCCTGCCTAGTGTAGGAGGGGTGGGGCAGCAGGACCCCCGCCCCGTCCCCCCTGGCATGGTGTGGTCAGCACTTCCCTAGGCCACGGGGTAACCAGGCACTCGCGCGCGTGCCAAGTGCGTTTCGTCCGAGTACGGTGTCACGGTCGAGCTCTCATCCCCAGTTGCTCTCAGCGGCTCTTTGTTTTCCTCCTTGTCATCCCATGAAGCTCACTCGCTCTCTGCGGCCAACTCAACAGCAACGTCCTACAGAGCACAGACGTCCTCCTCCCAGCGAGTCGATGTCCTTCAGGCGTCCTCCCAACCAAAGAGTCCCTCAGCATCCCGTGTCTAAAAGGCTCAATCCAACGTTTTCATCTGATCTCCACTGATCTTTGACAAGTCACCGCATCCGTTTCCACTAAAAAATTAATATTATTAATAAAACTGATAGTAGCATTTTACCATGTACAGTGTATACCTTTTGATTATCAGCATATCAGCGTGGCAAAGGCTCTCCACTATTGATCCCTGCCCCCCCCTTCCCCATAACATGAAAAAACAGGTAAAAATGTCTCCTCTCCCTTTCCCTCCCCACTCCCCTATTCCTCTCCCAGCCAGTAGCCACGGACATCACCTCCCATTCCCCATTCCACCCCCAAATGCTACATAGAACGAAATACTTTTGCTTTCGTTATTTTTATTATCTCCCAGTTGCGCTTCAGCTTTGCGTGGCGATGCCCCCTCTTCCCCATTTTTTTAAACCCATTTATACGAATGATCCCCTTTTTTACCCTCAGATCCCCCTATGAACCCCCCCGCACCCTTATCCCCCCATGCGCAGTGTACATGCTACAACATTTATGCCTATCATGGAGCTATATTGAGCCTGGTCACAATTATTAATTTATGGATTTTTATTTGCGTTTACCCCCTTGGATGTATTCTTATTGCCATTATTCTTAGTCAGTTATCATTGTACATTTCTAGCAGCCGCTCGAACCCGCCCCAACCCTTCGCCCTCGACCCCCTCATTCAAACCTTCTGTGTCCTTCAAATTGGAATCCAATCCTTTGCACCAAGTCCCGTGAATCCGTCCTGATCCCTGGCACACATGCGATTGACTGCCCGACCCCCAATTTTGGCCCTTTTTTTAATTTTGATTTTCGTATCCACCTCACGGCTATGGCATGTTACGTAGCCGAATATATTCTTAGGTATACCATTTGAATACCAACGTAATATGTATTTTTAATTGCACCCTTTGATTTTTTTTCTTCTCTCTCCTTTTTTTTATTATTATTGTTTCCCTTCTGGTGTTTACGTTTCAGGTTTGGTTGATTTCCCCGAGTGGACGTGGCACTACATAGCTAGCCATGGACGAGTGACTTTGCTCTTCACCTATTTATGATTTGTTTTTTTGTGATGCCAAGACCTCATTTTTTGTGTCTTATTCTTATCGTCTTTCTTTTCTTTTCCCTTTTTTGTCTTTTTTCTGTTGTTTCCACGATGATGGTTCCTTGCATTTTTTATTTCCCCTGGCATGTATTATTCTTGATAGTTTACTTGTTACCTCTTGCACCCGTATATGAAGAAGCTCCTTGTGTAATAATTACTATGATTTGACCGTAGTTTGCACACACGCAACTGTTTGTTTGAGTGATTTTGCAAGGTTTTGTAGATTTGGCCCATTCTTCCCCTTATAAAGGAAACTCTGCAAAAATTCAGCACATTGCAAAGTGGTCACTATTTAGGTAGTTAGATCCTCTTCCTTTCTCTTGACCACTGATTTTTCTACACATTTGTTGCCACAGATCAACATGTTATCGAGTGAGAGATGCTATTAAAGAGAATCAGATCTCACAACAGCTATGTTTCATTTATGTCTCACTTAGTCCATGACCTTATATGGAATAGGTATTTGAAATAATACTTTTTTTTCTTCTTCTGAACATTGCCATCTTCTAACTCTTCTCCTCGCCATTGTCACAAACAAAGTCTTACCTGTTACTCACTTCTGTAAAACCGAAAGTCTGTCTGAGCAACCAGGCGTAGGTCGGCTATGGTGAGGGACGGTGAAACTGCTCCCTCTCCTCACCATCATCACCATCTTCATCTGCTGACATACACACGCTGTCATGAGTTTCCACGCCGTCCATCTGTCAATCATTCCCCATCCCACATGTCCCACACAGCCGCTCATCTCGCGTCCATTCCTCTACTCTGAATCCTCTCCTTCCTGTACCACGCCATTACCTCAAACTTCTCTTCTATTTTGTTCTGTAATTGGTTTAGTGTCATCTAATTTAACTATCAGCTGTGAAGATCATCGTTGTTCTGAGAGAAGGGTAATCACAAAGTCTGTACTTATTTAGTCATTCATTTATTTATGCAACATGTCCGCGTTGCATCTTCATTTGATATACCCATACCAATACCTAATCCGGCACCTTGCCATTCATTGGTCTTTGCTGTTCCTTCCCTTTCCTGACTGTTCCATCCTTCCTCTCTATTCCTTCCACTTCACCTTCCGTTCACCAGAAAACCTCCATCCTCGCCATGAGGAGAACCACCACTCTACCCTCGAACTCTTTCACCAGCTCACCGAATTCATCCATAATTAAAAGTGACCTCAGCTGGTCGAGGCTGACACGAGTTTTGACCCCCACAGGGCTGATGGGCTACATGACCTCTAAGACACAAGCGTAAGTAGGGTTGGGTCTTTCTTTTCCTGGCCTACTAATCACGATAATGAGAGGAGAGCTTCATTCTCCGCATAGTTTTCTGGTACACCTTCCACAGAGGGTAGATTCCACCTCGAGACTGCCATTGATGATGAAAATTAACTTTTTTTTTTACTCTCTAAATCCTCACCAAAAGATTTTTGAAATCGGAGGAGCCCTTTCATTTGCTTTTGTGTCACTGTCCTGGTAACTGCCGGACAAATAGGACCTAAGTGCCCACAGACCTTTATGTGACCTGACCTCACCTGACCTACCCTTCTTGGTGTCGCATGGGTATAAAACAAAACAAAACTATAGGGTTTTTACTTTCTTAGAGTGTTTATCAATGTAATGCTGGCATACGCAACATCATAATAAAATATCTTAAAAACAAACCATGTCTGCAATTGCATCTGCGGACAAGAGCGATCCATTCTAGAATCCCAGATACATTAGCTCACCAGCCAGTCAAGGGTCATCAGCATACACAGTGCTTGAGTACTCATTCATCAGTCACAAGATACACACACACACAAGGAAATACGGGAAGCAATACGCACTCGCTCATTCACTTTGATCACTCACCCAATTACTTATTCACTCACTCACTCACTCATTCACTCACTCAATTACTCACACATACAATCATTTTCTTATAATCACCCACACAGACATACACTCATTCAGTCAATCACTCACCTCAAACTTAATAATTCACCGACTTATAAATCACCATCTCACTCATTCACATACTCAAAAATTCACCATCCCACACCAATGCATTCACTCATTTCTTCACTCTCACAAACATATACAAACCCACTTACTTATTTACATACTTAATTATTCACTCACTCAATTAATCACTCACTCATTCACTCACTTATTCACTCACTTACTCATTCACTCACTTACTCATTCACTCACTTATTCACTCACCCACCCACTCACCCACTCACTCACTCACTCACTCACTCACTCACTCACTCACTCACTCACTCACTCACTCATTCATTACATACACAGTCACCTTCACTTTCACTCACCCACTCTCTCACACAAAAATACGCTCATTCATTCATTTACTGACATGCATATATACATCAGTTCATTCATTCACTCCCTCAGACATTCATCACCACACAAATGCATTCACTCATTTACTCACACACTCTTGTTCGTTCATTCACTGGCTCTCACTCACTTCACACATACACCAATACACACTCATTCTCTCTCTCTCTCTCACACACACACACACACACACACACACACACACACACACACACACACACACACACACACACACACACACACACACACACACACACACACACACACACACACACACACACTTATTTCCATATTCCAAAATAGGGAAAAAATAAAAATAATAAGATAAAAAGCAGGAAAAAGATACCAAATCCAATCAGAATATTCAGTTTCCAGTTAGCCCATGACAACCATTCTTTAAAAAGGAACTCACAAAGGGCACAAGAGAACACTTGGTGAACAGTCAGAGGCATATTGCGGTGAGGGCTTACAACGGCATGGGAATGAGTGTGTATGTCTTATGTGGTAGTGTTTAGATTAGCCGTTCTTAACATGTTTGCAGGAGTCACATAGCCCATGTGATTTTGTAAGTCAGCCAATGTGGTTAGGAGCTTCATAGAGAAGGGGCAGACTAAGTGTTCACTTCACAGTAGCTTAGAAGCCATTCTGCCGAGTATGTTTTAGCCCAGCAGGTCTGACAATCTTGGACGCTATATCAAGAACAAAGACAGTAGTCTATCATTTAGACATATCCTCATCCACATTCGTGCTAAAATTTACACGTCTCTATCTCTCTTTCTCTCACACACACACACACACACACACACACACACACACACACACACACACACACACACACACACACACACACACACACACACACACACACACACACACACACACACACACACACACACACACACAACACTCATAAAGATATATACACCAAGGAATTATATTAGAGCCTTTATAAACAATGTTAAATTATACTGTTTAACCTGTATGATACCTCTAAACATTATTCATGGCAAGTCCATGTTTAATCACTTACTCTCATTGCCACGGCGCCTGGTTTGCACAGACTGGCACTCGTGGCCTCTCAGACGTCATGTTTGATCCTGACTTACATCAAAACCCCCCTTCCCCCCCTCCCCTTTTCCCATTTGATGTCATGGTTGTTTTGTCACCTATGACCCTCCTCTATTTTAGCACCATTTTCTTTTCTTCAAAGTCCTATGCAATCATCAGCATATTGAAGAGATGAGTGTCTTCTCTCCTGCACATTTGTCTGCTGTGTTCCCTGCCCCAAAACTGCAGAATCCTTCAGTCTCATCATCTTCCAAAGAACTCATGTCTTAATATTTATTAAACTTTTGCCTTTGTGAATGTCAAAAAAGGTGATGGTGAAACATTTTCTCTCATCGTGATGTTTCTCTTTCCCACTTTTTTTGTTTGTTTGTTTTCCTCCCTACTCAAGAGTATTGTGTCTTTTCTTCTGTGTTGATATTTCTATGATTATTTATGATGTATATTTCAACCTGCTATTACCATATTTCATGTAATTTTCTCCTTCTCTTATTTTACTATTATTATTATTGTTGTTGTTTCTCCTCTCTTTAATCCACACATCTTTCATTCATTGAAATTCTTCGACTCAGATATCCATTCCCCCAAGGTTCCCCATCTGTCTTTTCCTCTAGCTCTAAGGTTTTCTGCGACCTCACCACAATTCTGGCCCACGAAGAATCTCTTCTAGAAATCCCCTTCCCAAGAATACTACCCCCTCAACCCTTCCAAAAATATGTAACCTGTATTTCACCAAATTTTGTATCTGTAACCCATAATCATCAACGTATAATGACACATTTAAAAAAAAAAAGAAAAAATATATAGATATATTTCTATCACTGCTACGGAGTATGTGGAACCCACACATCATGAAGTATAGCTCTCCATTCTTAAGTAACGCAAGAAATCTTCAGTTGTGAAAATTTAAAGTGATTATGCGAAAATACATTTGCATTTCATTTAATACACCTTAAAAGAGTTACACAACATTCTCTTCCCTTAATACTTTGAAGTTTCCTTTTATTGTCTGTTCTTTTTTAAAGGAATCCAACTATATCAAAGAAATTTAAACTTTAATTTCTCTTTTTTTATTTCTGAATATTACTTTATTCTTTCCTTATAGAAGAGTAGCAAGTATATCACACCAAGTTTTTTTTTACTAGAAAGTGCACAGTACTATACAACTGAATGAAGAAAGTCCTAGCGATGTTAGTTACTCAAGAGTGGAGCTTGTGTTTGTATTGGCCATGAGTGTTTTAGCACCACTTTTAACTCTCAGCCACCGGTGCCCAGCCACTATGCATCACAGGCCAAGCACCAGTGGAATGGTCTAAACAGAGGTCACTGTAGCTGCCTTTTCATGGAGAAATAAGCACCTTATATCTATTTATATTTATTTCTCTGATGCTTTTGTCCTGTGTAATTGATAATTAAGCCTTTTACTCTTATCATCTCTCCATGGAAATGCAGCTACATTATGTTAACCAAGCTTATCTACTAAAGGTTTCTCACCTGCCAGTATTTTGGTTGTGACACTGCCGCCTCCCCGTAAGTAACGCTGGTGTGAGAGCTGGTCTCCTCCATACCACAGTGCGGCAGTCCAAGGTTATTACCATCTTCTGCATTGGCCTTGAGGGGGGAAGAACCTCTTGAGCCTGCCAAGGATCAGTGG